CCGAAAATGTTGGTGCACTGGTGGAGCATGCGCAGCTCATTGCAAACAGTTAGCGAAATTTTTTCTTTTATTGTATTTTGCTATGTTTTTTTTTCATTTTCACCAAAAGGACGAAACCGAAACGTTTTTCTGTAAGTATCAAGAATGTGAACCTTTTCATTTATCAATAGCCCCCGCCGAAACCTCCTGCCCCGACTAGGAGCTTATCCCAATGGACACTGAGCCAGCAGATCCAGCCAGACCCAGTCAGTCCCATTGGACACTTTGGCACGCCATTTTCACACAAACATTTCAATGAAAAGTATCAACGAAATTGCTTTTCAAATTGCTTCATATGCCATAAACAGAATGCGTGCCAGATTTTCTTTATGCTCTTTATGTGCATTTTATGCGAACGTTTCGCCTGCGTCTCTCTTTCTCTCAATCTCTATAGCTGTGTGTGCTTTTACCTCCCTCTCTATCTCTTTCTCTCTCTCTCCCTGTCTCTCTCTCTTTCGTTCTCTTTTGGCTTTAAAATTTTAGCAGCAACTAATTCAACGCAGGATTTGCGCACAAGGACCTTGCAGCTCCTTCTCCGAATCACCAGTCTCCAGTTTACCTTTTACTGGCGCATATTTTCGTTTTGGTATTTCAATTAAAGTTTAATTAAAACACGATGCCATGGTTTTCAGAAACAGCAGCTGGAAATGTATTTGGAGCTGGAGTCGCGACTAAAACTGGAGTTGAAACATTATTTCTTTTTCGCAGCTCTCATATTGTGCCCACTTTTAAAATGTTATTTGATTAAGTTTCTCGTTTTTGCCAACAACAAAAAAGAAAAAAAAAACAAATACTTCTTTCACACACGAACTGAACGAACCTCATAAATCCTGTCAGCTCCCTGCATCCCACACAGCAATCGAGCGCCCAGTGGGCTATTATTAGAGGTGGCATTAAGCGGCTCAGCAAATAAATTAGTTGTCTGCACTCGGGGCAATAATTTATCACTGCCCGCTGTTTGGGTTTGCATTGGTCGACTTTGTGTGTCTCTGTCTTTGGCCAATCGATAGAGGTTTCTGGCCAAGTTTCTGCTTGAGATCTGATTGTAGAAATGTGCTCTTTAAACACTTTCTGAGTAGTTGTTTGGCATTTACTAACAACCTTAGAAGCAAACGCCATAAATACCTTGAAGAGAAATTGCTTTACTACCAAAAAATAAACAACTTGTATATAGTATGCAGAAATGTATACATTATGAGCTAGACAAGTAATCAAATTATTATAAACAATTAAAATATTCAAGTTAGAAAGGGATGTCTTAGGAATATTCAAGTTAGAAAGAGATGCCTTAGGAATTTGAGGTCAATAACAAATGTCAAATTGCCGGTGAGTAACTAAATTGTATTTAAATTGCTTTTAATTTTATAAATTAGATGTCATATCCTGTTGCAAGTGTTAATTTATGAATGACTCAGCAGTCAGTAAATACAAACTTGCAAAAAGATTCGCAGTTCAAAATGCAGTTTAAAATTGGTTGAGAACGAGTCTTTTATACTGAAAGATGAAGCCCACATAATCCGTCGTCCTACAAATTAATAAAGAAGGTTGTCCTTGCTCCAAGTAATAATTTAAAAATGCACTTCATCCAATCAGTCCCTGTTGCAAATTTGGGCTGAAAGTCTCTTCAAGTTACTTCAGGATTGGCAGGATCCCTTAGATGCAATGTAAAAACATTTCAAACTAAACAACCAAATTACAAATTTAAACAATTTTAAGTAGCTAAAAAAGTTTACCAAACTCTTACTTGGCCACTCGACAATCCTACCTGATGACGAATATGTTTAGGTATGTATTTTGGGTATCTTCATACATCTATTTATCCTTTGCTTACTTAGCCAAATTCCATAGTCTTTCCCTCAACCCCTGGTAGTTGCTATCACTCCATTCAGTTGCCAGGCAAATTAATCATGTGAGGAATTCATTTGGTTCTCAGTTAGTGCTCAGCTTTGTGGCACGTGCTACTGACCCACGTCGTCTGCCTACATGCCCCTTTCGTCAAGTTGCACCCGTTGCAACAATTTAATAAACAAACCAATAAATGCTAAACATTCCAAACTAAAGCCATAAAAATGACTCTGACAACAGCCACAATGTAAAATCATGATAAGTCAATTTTGTGTTAAAATTACCAACCCCCTCTCGATCTCTGCTGCGCTGGAGGCGCAGGCTCACGTGTCCTTGCCAAATGCAGTACTGCAGGAGAGAAGTGTGCGAGGATAGCATATTGTCCAGCGACGGGTGGTGCTAAGACGCTTACCGTTAATGCACCACGCAAATTGTCAATTTCAAGCTGTGAGCGCACAAATTAACAATTGCACATCCCGCTGGCAGAGCACCCCCAGCTACTCTCTTCCTGCTCTCTTTCTGATTATGCGATTACGTTTGTTAATTCTCTGCTGTGATTTTGGGGTCAGTTCTGTGGAGCTATTTGTAGTTTATTAAATTATATTTATATCTACACTATTAGGTTGGAGCTGCATAATTAAGCAGCTCATATATGTGAACGTAACCCCGACACTGTCCAATATCTTGTAGTTTGTATTTTGTCTACAATATCCTTATCTCTGCACGTAGCGAGCTTCATACGTGAGCTTCATAACATATGCAGCTAACACACACACACACACGCACACTCTTATTCTGGGCTTGACTTGATTTTCGTGTTAATACGTAGACGCTTGTGGAGGTCTCCACTTTCGTTTTTTTTGGGGATAGCTGTCTTTATGCCGTCATTAGCTGCAAATCCTTGTAGATTGATTTAGGGCCAGACGTGTGTGTGCATATCAAATGTGCGTCAATTTTCAGCAGCTACTTCTACATTTTGAGTTTTCAAATAGAATGCACACATATATAAATATGTAATATGTGTGTCAGCAGGGAGTGGGAGAGGGAGTGGAGCTGACAGTGGGGCAGGCTGGCAAAACAGCATGCAAACTTAATTTATATGCTAATTTTATTAACAGCCACCACAGCAGCAACAGTAGCAGCAATAGCAGCAGCAGCAGCAGCAGCAGAAGCAGCAGCAGCAACATCAGCAGCAGCGGGAATAACAGGCAGCAACAACAATAAGTCCTTGCTAATCCAAAGGGCTGACATTCCATAAGCCGCAAAAGCCAACGACAACGAAAAATCAAACATTATAACGTGTTAATAGCAGAAGCGGTAGCAACAACAACTACACCAACCCAAAAAAATGTATACATATATATATATAAAGCCAACTGTGCTGCCTCACGCATTATCCGCACCCCAACCCTGGACAGGAATAGCCGTCAGCCGACTGCTGACTGCCGGATGAGCAGGATACATTAACAGCCAGACACTGATACGCAATTATTAAAACAATTTATCAAAGTAGCACATCCGTTAGGCTGGCGAGAAAGGCAAAAAAAAAAAAAAAGAAATAGAAGGAGGAAGACAACAACAGTGGGTAAGGAGCCAAAGAGCAGTGACTATCGACCAACTACTATATAATTGTTTAGTCCGGGGTCAGGAGTCACTTGTTGTAGAACCCGTTGAATAGGCCAATAAAGCGCCAATGGTGGGCCAACTTTTGGCATTCATTGAAACCGCAAAACAATTCTCGCACTGAATAGTTTTGTACGCACACACACAAACAGTGAGCAAAAGAGAGACACACAGATAGAGAGAGAGAGAAAAGAGAGAGAGAGAGAGAAAGGGAGGGGAGATGCCAAGTTGATGTGGCACTGCAGGAAGCGGAAGCTTAAACACAAATTTAATGAAGCAGTAAATTCGATTGTCGCATAAACAAAACACGCCCGCATGCAAAGGACTACAAGGCGCACGCCACAGGCAGCGAACATCCAGGATAATGGCAGTGCCAACAACAACAACAACGGCTCGGCAACTGTGCCAGCCACAAAAGGATAATGCTCACTGTTGCTGCCCATATATATATATATATATATATATGTATCTGATTTTGTGTGTGTTTCGGTTTTGCAAACTTTTTGTGCTGGCTGCGGCAGTCATAAGTCGCCAAAGAGAGCGGACAGGTCGGGGATTGGGTTGGGGTGGAGGCAGTGCAGGGACTCTGAGCGCCGCCTAAATGTGACTTTATGTGCTTTAATAAAGTATAATTTTGGGCGCTTAAATGGCGTTGGGCGCCGCAAGCCGCGAGTGCAGCCAAAACGCTCATAAAGTTAAGCTAAAATTGTGAGTTAAAGCTCGACGGAAAAAGCAATTCGAAACCATCGAAAAAAGAAGGAAATTCAGAAATGTAAAAGTATTCGAAATGATGAAAATAGCGACAAGTATGAGAAGAGCATACTTGCAAATTTAGATATCAGGTATTTTTTAGGAATAGCGAAAATAGATTCACTTATTCTTATGTAACTTTAAAAATATACGAAAAATATATATGCAAATTGTGCACAATTTCGATTTAAACAAAAAGTACAACTCTACGACATAGTTTGATTGCAAAAGCTATTAAGATTGTGTCATGTATTTACTTGCTAATTGTTGGCTAAATAAATATGATATGATCTAATTATAAGTGCAATTTAAGCTTAAATTGTATGTGATAAGTGTGATATGTATTTATAAATTGAGGTTCAATTTTTGAATAGTTTTTTTTTGAAATATCTGTAATATTAAAAGATTTTATTTAGGCAACATAAGTGGGGAACTTGCTGTAGTTGAAGCTAGGATTGATTTCTTTAAAGTGCACTACCATTTCACTTGGCCATGTTCCAGTCGTGGTTGCATTTCGTTTGGTCGTGCAACTTGTAGCGGTTTGTGCAACACACGCGACATGTCATGTTCAACTAAACGTTAATTGTCAAATTGACAACTGTCAGTGGCGCTAATTGGGATTCAAATGCGACTCGCAATCAGCGATGCAGCGACCACAGCAAAGCCACAGAAAGTTTAGCGACAATAAAACTGAGTTTGGAGTTAAGAGATGAGCTGGAAAGGAGAGTGGATTGCTGACTCACCTGGACACGTGACTCGGTTAGGCCGATGCGCATAGCAATCTCCTCTCGCATAAAGATGTCCGGATAGTGGGTCTTGGAGAAGCAACGCTCCAGTTCGTTCAGCTGCGCAGGCGTGAAGCGTGTCCGGTGTCTTTTCTGCTTGTTTTTGTCCAGGTGCTGCAAGAGATCGAGAGAGAGAGAAAGAGAAGGTACAAGGCTTGAGTGTGACAGCAACAGCAACAGCAGCAGCAGCAGCAGCTAATTATCAACTACAACATTAACAGCAATAACAACAATGACAACAAGTTGAATAGCTACATTGAAAATTACAAGAACAACCGCTATTGTGTTAATGTCGACTACAATTAAAAAAAAAGAAGTAAAAAACAAAACAAAACTAGTCTAATCGAAGCAACTAAAATATTTTTTGCTATTTTTTGCTTTGCTGTTTACATAAAAATACGTATGGAAATAAAATTACACTTACTTTTTGTATTATTCATTGCACATAATATTTTTTATACACAATTCAACACACACAGAATTTACACATTCACATTTGGAGCAAATTTATCATTTTATTTGTATTGTTTTTTTTTTTGCAAATAAGTTTGTGGTTCGAATTGGTTTGGATTATTTTGTATTTTTTTATTATTATTATTATTATTTTTTTTGTTTTGTATATGCATAGCAGAGTTTTTTGAGGAAAAATAAACATCGAAAAGAACATGGATTATTAAAAATTCAGCTATTACTTGCTGCTGAAAGAGATAGAGAGATAAAGAGAGAGATCGCTAGAAGAAGCATCTTTCTCTCTCTACCTCGCTCTGCCTCTCTCTCTCTCTCTCTCTCTCTTTCTGGAAATCTCAGAGCGCATGCTCACCTGATCCTGTTGCTGCATGCTGTTGTTGTTGTTGTTGTTATTGTTGCTCCCGTTGTTATTATTGTTGTTGTTGCTGTGATTGCTACCACCGTTTAGCACATTGCTATTGTCGCACAGTCCTCCAGTGACATGCAGCCGGGCAACGCCACCAACGCTGGCACCACCACCACCACCCGGTCCAGCACCACCGCCCCCAAGATCCGCAATGTTTGGGGCGCCGGTCAGTTGGCCAAAACTATTGACGCCCGCGTGCAGTGCTGTGATTGCCGCCTTGGGTAGATCACAATCCTTGGGGCCTACTCCAGATTGGAGCCACATCAATAACACACAGAGAGAGAAAGAGAGAGAGAGAGAGAGATGGGGAAAGGTAGAGGGAAACAGAAAGAGAAAGCAAGGAAAGTGGAGAGATTAGTTGCTGTTTAAATTATTGTGGCAATAATTATATATATTTATCGTAAAATATTTATGTAAAATATATTTTATTTTAAAAGGGTAGAGATTGTTTTTTAATATTTCAATTTTATCGTGACATTATAAATGATGTAGAGCTGGACCAGAAGTTTAACCTTTGATACTTTACACAAATTTTCATCGTTTTGGAACCACATTTAAATATTCAGTATTATCAATATCGTAATATTTTTAATTGAATATGTAGTAATTATTAATTATAATTTCAATTGTTGTTAACCGAAAATCGAAAGAAATATTCGGATGCAAGTAAATAATGAAGAGCATTTCACTGTGTAAAGAAACTCACAACTAGCACCCACTGTAAGAAAGCCGTCGGAATTGTTATTGCTTAGTGCAAATGTGATTTGGATTTATCGGATTGATTATTTTTAATTAAAAGAAGACACTTAATGCGTTGCACGTATAATTTTGGATAAACTACGGATTACGATTGCCGTGTTTTGCCGTCGCGAGTCCGCGTCAAGATTCGACTTCGTGTATTGCCCAGACCGAACTGCGGCGATCGGATAAATTGAATTTTTCAACAACCTGTCACTCAAAAGATGCCAAAAACAGTAACAAACGGCTAAGAGTCAGCGACAGAGGCACCAGCAGCAGCAGCGGCAGCAGTAGCGACAGAAGCGGCAGCATCTCAACTGAGGTGCGATACAGAGAGACGCACACACACAAAGATATAGATACAGATACAGGTACAGATACAGATTTAGATACATAGATACATGTGTGAGATGTGTGAGCTGTGAGCGTAACCCCTTTTATTTCATTTTTACCTTTAGCTCACTTGACTACGTAACGCGGCCTTTTTTTTCGGCCCGTCCAACAACTACAACAACACTACTACAGTAGTCCGACATAAAAAAAAATCACGGAAGAGAAGAAAAAAAAACAACAACTAAAATAAAATAAAACACGAATCATAGGCAAATACAAACAGTGCCCAGTGGGGTGGATATGTGTGCATATGTATGTAGTTTTGTAGTAGAAAGAGTCGCCGGAGTGGTTGAGTTATATTGAGTCGGAGACTTCAACTTCAACGTACGTCTGGAATTTTTAACATGTATGTGCGAGGCGCTGCCTGTGAGAGACAGCAACAGCAATGCAACAGCAACAGCAACAGCAACAGTAACAGCAACAACAAAGCGACTACCACTGAGAACCGCTCAACTCTTTTGGCATTGATTTTGTTCATGTGTGTGTGTGTGTTGTGTGTTGTGTGTCAGTAAGTATATCTTTTTGATATTTCAACTCTGCTACAAGTCAAACATTTACTCATCGCCAGTTGATGCGAACTCTCGTCTCAATACATAACCTTTTGGGCCCGACTCTTGACTCAAGCTTCGATGAACTGAAGCTGAGTCGCTGATGTTGTCATGATTTTCCATGTACATATGTACAATTATTAGTATTCCTGCAAGTAAAGAGTGCAGAGTGATGGTGTGGGTGTGGGTGTTGTTAAGTGTGCAATTTCCGTTGAAAGCGAAACAACTGCAAATTGAAATGTTTTTTAAGTCTGTCTGACATTTTTTATTTTATTTTGACGGGAGTGGGGTATATGTATATATATATTTATTCCATTTTGCTTTCAATAGCCGACTTTGATGTGCAAGAAAAGAAAACAAACAGAGACGAACGCAGCATCAATGATTTTTATTGTTTTCAAATGGACTTGTTAAAATTTCGGCAACTTCACAGGGCCAAAAAACATGCCGCACTGCTGCAGCAACAGGTGCCAGCTAGGGAGCTGGAACTTGCACTGGAATTGGAACTTGGTGCTGCTGAGGCAGCTCATAAAAGTTCAACGAGTGCAGCGCCACATAAGACCCATAAATTAAAAAGGCGGAAAGTATTTTGTTATTGTTGTTGTATTTGCTGGCTATGATAGACTAAAGCAGCGACATTCCCTTATTCCAGTTCGATCGTAGCTGTTGCTACTGCTGCTGCTGCTGCTATTGTTGTTGTTGTTGTTGTTGCTGCTGTGGTTGTTGTTGTGCAGTCGCTTTTAAAGCGTTGCCAGCAAAGTGCTAATTTTTACACATACACCCAGTGCGGCTACTGTTCATTAGCGATTTTTGACGCGCCTGACGCGCTCACGACAACGCTTACATGACGCACACACTGATACAATCGTCAATTTGTCAGTCATCTTGTCAGTCATCTTGCAACATTGACGTTTGTCAAATATTGAATGATAAAAAAAGCCAAAGCGCAGCTTGAAAGCCACTTCCGCGCCAGCTTGTTGACTATTTTACAGCATTTACGGTTTGGAGCAGTTGGCACACAACTGTAACATGGCCAAGCAAGAGCTCCCAACTATGCATACATACATATATATATATATATATATATATATAAAGCATATATAGCATCATCATCGCCGTCATCAACTGTGTTGGCTGCTGCTCCAGTGTCGTGATTAGTAAATTTAAGGCGCGGTGTTAGGTGCGATATCTGCAGCTCCCATAGCCAAACACAGCTTACGCTCGAATGCTCGACAACTTGGCTAAGATTGGAGTTTGGTGCCTGCCCAGGGCCGTTTGCCTGCAAGAAGTGCGACTTTTAGCATATTCACATGAGCGGCTGCTTCAGCGGTTCTTGTTGTTGTTATTGTTGCTATTATTATTGTTGTCTATATATCTTTTTGTATATATGCACACTGTCTTGCCAAATAGCGCCACTTCTCGAAATCGCACTAGGTTGCAGTCTAGCTTTGGTCCAGCTTTGATTTCAGCAAATAGTTTACAGTTATGGCACTCAAATATGAAAAAACAAACGCAGCACCTGGAATTGTAACTGCAACCGACCAGCAAACTGTAAATCGATGTGAGATCTAGTCGTTTGTCGTGGATGCCACACAAATAGTTAAAGTACAAACAAACCGTCTCCAACAACTAATACTGTTGAAATTGTAAAGGTATTTGGAGCTGAAACTATTATTAATCAAGGAAGTCCAAGGCAAAGAACTGGATGGAGAGAACTTTGAAAGAAATAATATTTATTCCTTTACATAGAAATTATAATTGAATGCAGAAACCGAATAACATCTTTTTAGCGTAATAGTTATATATAAGCTAGTTACAAAAACGTGGTATAATTCTCAGGTTTCGAAATGACTGCATTGGCGTTTGCAAGCCGTAAGTCTGTAGTGAACTCTACCAAAGATCAAAACTTTCATTATATTTGCCTTTACAATTATAAGCTATGGATAAGCTAAAAACTGTACATTTTTCAGAAATAATTTCGCTGCTTCCGCTGCTCTTTTAACTTCAATGGTTTGGGTCCGCTGATCTCCATTAAAGCAATATTGGATGCTCACTGCTTAAAGTCATATGATAATTACATGATAATCACGTTTCAGTGTCCCATATCTGTGATGTATTATTGTCCGCTCATAATGATGACTAATTGGAGTTGGAATCAATCATAGATGACTCTAATTGGAAATGTCATCGTTGTGACATTAGTAGAATGCTGTGTAATGTCCGCAATTGTAACTAGCTACAATAAAACATGGCGGCGCCCTGATTACTGATTACCAGCAGAGCACACATGCGAACAAACTCCGTGTGCATGTTGTGCATGTGTGTGTGTGTGTTTGTGTGTGTTTGTGTGTGCGTGTTTGTGTGTGTGCTGGTGTACAACTGACAACGAGCGGCCATTTTGCTTGGTAGAGTTGCACGAAAACCGCACAAAGCGATTAATTAATTAAAATTGCCAAACATGAATTTATCGCGCAAGCAATTTGCACAATTTGCGCAAAATCAGTTTGGCGGCTGCTGCAGCTGCAGCTGTAGCTGCAACTGCAAGTGCAGCTTTATCTGTCCGCAAAATATATGGCAAAATTTGCAGAGGGACAAGCTGTAGGTGCAGGATCAGCTGCAGTAGGACTAGTAGTCGTCAGTTGCACACACTGTACATAATTATTGAAATTTGGAAATTGTGCGGTTGAGCGGACAGCCTCTACCACAGGCTATGGTCTGGGGCATGTGGCAACCGCAGCAACAGTTGCAGAATCCGCAACAACCGCAAAACATTTCGATACAAATGTTTTGGCCAACAAAGGAAGAGGAGGAGGGAAGTGGATGCACATATTTCACTAGCGCGGGCGACCGCAAAAATGCCAGCGCACATTCAAAAGCAGCAGCGTGGGGTGAAAGCTGAACCTGCTGGCAGTCAAATTACAAATGCAATCGTGAAATTAATTTAATTAATCCGGGCACGAAAAATGCCTAGTCGAGTTCTAGCAAATGCTTATTTGCCAGTCGAAATGACTGTCCGCATTAAGTCAACGATTTAAACTTTTTCGCGGGAGACACATTGCAAATGAATGGGCTTTTGAGACCACCTCACCCTTACCGCACCCCACCCGCCCTTCGCACGACCACAATACGCTATTCTTTTGCATGCAAATTGCGCTTAATTGGGCACCAAGTCTCCACTTCCACTCCGTATACCCTTCCCTGCGCTCTGCTTTCTGCTCTCAACCCCATCTCCATACAGTCCAAGTGCTGCTGCCTCTTGCTGGCCTACGCTGCGCATACGTAATATGCAAATGGTACCGTTTGTTGCTTCGCATAGCTGTTGTTTGCTTTTTGTTCAGTTTGTTTTGGGGAGCTTATAAAATTTATTAGGAGCACATGGTGCAGCCAAGGATTTGCCTTGTTCTGCAAAAAGGATTTTCCGACGCATGAAAACTTTTTCAAATAAATAGATGCATCTTTGTGGCTTTAAAAATGAAGGGGTTGCATTTGTTTGGAACTAAGATCAAACTAAATAATGGATAAATGGCTCTGAAACCGAACTGAGTTTATCATTCTGTTTTAAGTTTAAATTAAAATAAATCTGTTTGATATATATATTTCTATACTTAAAGTTTCATATCATAGAAAAATATTTTTTTAAAAGCTTTTAAGAGTTCAGATCATTCATGGATTTGCCACATTTATTTATACTTTTTCAATCTCAAATGCATATGACAATAAAAATATTTGAATGCGCTATAACCGTCAATATTTTGGTAATAATTCTTTTATAGCCAAAGGGCAGTTGCACAAATTGCGCATACGCCGGGTTGGACTGGCAACTTGGCACCATAAAGTGTACGGAAAATGGCAATAAATTAATAAAAGTAATTAATTACAGGCTGAGGCAATAGGGCAGAGCAGAGTAGATCGAATGGCAAAAATATTATTCAATAAAAGCGCGCACATAATTCATTTGATGGCGAATTGCAGTTGTTGCCGCTGTGGTTGCCGTTGCAGTTGCAAAGTTGCAAGTCTGCAGCTATAAATTTGATTGCCGAAATTGAAAGTGCTTGAAAAATGATCAACAATGTGGTTAAAAAATATATTTATGAGTACAATATAAACTGATAATTATGTGCGTGTAATATATGCAAATGTAATACACAATTTGCGGCATATTTAAAAGAGCAATTATGGCAATTAACACACACACACACACACACGAAGGTACTGAGATATTGATGGGCCTGGGGCCCTTGTTTGCACCCACAGCAAAATCCAAAAAAAAAAAAAAATATATATATATATATATATATATATACGAGCTAGTTAAATACAACTTAATTATTGCTAAATGCACGCGACATGGGGCGCCAGCTATTTAGACGCCTCAATTATAGGCCATTTAGCGTCATCGATGGCTCAGACGCTGCCCAGCCAATAAGTCGGAAGTAACTACAGCCATATATGTATTATCCGACCCGATGCCAGAGCGTATGCTCAAGAAATTAGTTTAATTATGGCCAATGGACCAGCGGGCAGATTAAAGCACATATTATTATATATTAGCGTAATTCACTCTCCGATCTTAATTACAATATTATACGCTGTCTGTTCAGCTCCTCCTTCCCCCTACTACCTCCCCCTGCTCAATGAGCAGTGATTGTTTGTTGTGGTGATTGATTTGATTTACATTGTGAATATTCACTTACCCAGCACATTGGCCCCAAGATTGTTCAGCATGCTTGCCGAGAAGTTGCGTATCGATAGCGTCGACAGTTTGTCGGCTTGTCTGCTTGTGTTTGGGCTCGCCAGCCAGAATTGTTAACTGAGGAATCTTAATTAAAATTCAATTGAATTGAATTGCAAAATTGTGTTGTGCAGACTCCAAGAATTCTGCTCGTATACTCGTCTATCACAGTGCGTAAATTCTAGTGCATCAAAGCCGTATGTCAATTACATTTCAATCATGTTTCCTCAACTTGTCCTTAACGGGTCTGTAAATACAAAATAGAGTAGGAGGCTTATCAGTTATAGTCACGAGGTTATAATATAAAATCTGATGCGATTATGAGCTTAATAAAATGGTGTAAGCATGCTTGCAAATAAATTGTATAATCTTAAAAAAAAACCTTTAGAACGTCACATTGGTTAAATTTGGTTTCAAAGTGCCAAATAATGCATTCATTATTATTTTATATTTTCATATGCTCAGGCAAGTTGTTCTATAAACTTAATGGCTGCAAACAAAAGGTAAAGAAATTATGGATATGCAATTGATTGAATGTAGCAGATTTATAAATCGTGCATTTTTTCAATTGTTTATTGATTGCTATCAAAACCAAATCATTCAAACTAGTAATCACATATTGATATATTTGGGTGTCAGATTTAAATATTAATTAATGAATTTAAATTAAAATACAATCTAACTAGTCCATGCACAACTAATCTCAATTTGCTGAAGCAAAAATTTACAAATAAGTCCATTATAAGTTTACCAAAAGAATGATACATTTTCTGGTCAACTCTGAAATGCTCTGATGTTGTTTACACTTACCTTGCGACCCTTTTATCTTGCAAACAGGCGTATCAGCAGTTAACCGCTGGGGTCAGAGTTCAATGCAGACAGCAAGACGCTCAAATTGCCATAGTAAAATTAATTAAATGCCTTGACCATAAAAAAGCTGAAGAAATTAAATCGAAGTCACTTGGCCGGAAGTTGAAAAGTTTTCTTGCCGCTTACGAGACACGCACATGCACATTAACACTCACACACACACACACACACACAAGCACACAGGCAGTCACACACACACACACACACACACACACGCGTACACGTTGAAGGTGAGCACGCAATAAAAAGGAAGTTGTATCGTTTATTGATGAAATGTTTGACCAGTTGACAGCTGGACACTGTCCGGCGGTTGTGCTGCGAGCCTTCGTAGTATAAATGACCGCAATTTGCTAGACTGCGGTATGTTGTTGTTGTTTATGCGAACTTAATTGATTTTGCAGTAGTTTGCATTTGACGTTTTCTAACACACACACACGCACGCACACACAGAAACACACACACACTCACACGTATTTAAACAACAATTTTTGCATTTTGTGTTGTTTGAATTGCGATTTTTGCTTGCGATTCGTTTGTATACTTAATGACATAACATATAACAGTCAAATCAGTTTGGTCTACGGTTGCATTTGGCCCTTTGAAGGCTTTTCCGGTTTGGAGTTTCGATTTTGATTTTCGGTTTTGTACTTGGCGACGGCTCGCCAAAAATATAATACAATATGCAGCGCAGCGGAACGGAACGCGTAACGTTTGCCCAGCGACTCGCTCGCATTTGAGACAAATGCGAAAAAATCAAAACGAATTGACTCGATGATGATAACGTTAACGCCGCTGTCCACGATGGCTGACGCTGCGCACTGCAAACGACAACGACAACGGCAACGGCAACAACGACGATGATTTCAATCGCCACCACCCAACATAAGGGCGGGCGGGCAGCAGCAGGACAACCCCCTCGGCATGCATTGCTTGCCAAACAATCGACATGCGAAAAAAAAAGGCGAAAGCGAGAAGCGAGAAGCGTGAAGCGGGTAAGGCGCGTGTTATCTGCTTTTCTATCTGCCATCTGCTTAACTTGTGCATTGATTTGCACAAGTGTGCGCGACAGGGACAACAATAGCTAACAGCTGCCATCTTAAAGCCAGCAGCAGTCATCGACAGCTGGTCGTCTCGCTCTAACTGCACTCGCACGAATCGTTGAGTGAGACAGCAAGCGTTTGCAGTGCGTATCGTAAGCGCCGCCCACAAGAGCGTAACGGTTGTGTGGGGGGCGGCTACCAAATGGGGGGTCGACTGTTGTTGTAGGGTCGATAAATGGCGATTGTTTGGCGCGTTGTATACAGCGCCTATCGATAATAGATAAGCAAGTGCAGAGAAAAAATCGGCGCAGCTTTCAACCCTGCTGGCACTCCATCCCCTCTCCAGCGTCTGCACAGGTATGAATTCGGTCGCAGTGGCAACCGCAGCGCTGAGCTTACAGTTATTGCAAAAAGTCAACTACGGGGGCGGCAACTGAGGAATTTTTATAACGCATAACTCTCCGAGGATGACAGAGATTCAGCCGCGTGCCATTTGGGTCCTGGCAGCAGGAGCAGCCGCAGCCACAGCAGCAGCAGCTATATAACTCCACTGCTCGTTGCTCGTGGCTGCCACGTGTCATTCGTCCTTTATGCCCACTCACCTGTTGTCGCCCGCACTTCAGCTCACCTCGCCTAACCTCGTCAGTCGCTTATTAGTTTTTGCTCCTCCTTATTGCTGAGCAGTTGTCAGGGCGCTTACAGCGGAATTTTATATTTGTGCAACATGCAAAATGCCGAATTAGCCAACAAAGAATCTTGTCAAAATGAAACTTGCTATGGCAACCGCTCTACTCAAAGACGCACCATGCCCGATTCACATTCCACTCCCCATCTCGGCACTCTCACTCCCGCTGACCACCTTTTTTGGTGGCTGCTCTTCTTCTACAATTTCAAGCTGTCGAAGCGCGCAAAGGCAAACAAATTCGGGGCGTTAATTAAAAACTCAAATCACAAACGCTGACCACACCAAACCACAATAAGCACAAATAAAAGGCAGAGAAATATCAGAGCTATACAAAGAAATAAATTGATGTCTGTTGAGGCGTCTGTGCTGCTGCCAGCCAGAAGTCTACCCAACTGATACAGTGAAACACATTTAGATCTGTAAAATATCACAGACATTTCTAAGATTTAGCAGGTAGCAGCATTGCATCGATACGCAAACAAATCTCAAATGACAAGCTTCTAAAACCTCACATGTACACATTTTCCAGTTGTACAGCAATATACATTATCTTGAAAGGTGGAAACAATTATTTTTGTATCCACTTAAAATTCCATAATCATTTTAAAGACATTTTAATATATGGAATATTGCTTAGGGTTCCAGCACTTTTCAAGTTCTTAGAACTTATAATATTTTAATGATTGTTTTAATAACTTAATTAAGAATGCAAGCCATTCATAGTTGATGGGAGAAAGTCAATCTGATAATAGTATTAAATTCATTAAATTTGGATTTCACAAAGTTCTATATCTGAGCGTATCTTTTTAAACATAATTACTCAACATAAACGGTTTTTGGAGATAAATATTCAATTAGAATTGATATTTTGGATTATCTTTTATCTTAAACTATCTTATTTTATATTAAAATTATTTCTTTGCGAATTTTTACAGGAGCAACATTCCTGTTGTGCCTTGTTGAAATTCTATAAATCCCACAAAAGGTAACCTAATATGAAAAATAAAAACAGTAAAATATTTAATGAAAAGTTTGCAATTACGAACTAATTAATAGTTGATTGCTTCAGTTTATTTTAATTATTTGTATATTTATATTTTCACATCTTAAGCATCCAAGTTAATAAGCCACTTCTATTTTGAGTAGTGTATACAAAATAAATAAGCAAATAATCGTGAACACATCTTAATTCGATGTTGGGCTCGTTTATTAGAGCTTCATTTTTCTTGTTTTCTTTTCTTTTTTTTTTGCTTAAATTTTGTTATCAAAAATGTTGAGGCGTGCTAATTAATCAAAGCCGTTCGAGCTGTTGCGCATTTGATATACTTATATATATGTGAATGTACGGAAGACTACACCGCTCGTAAAGAATATGTGGTAAGTAAATATATTCGAACAACTAGTTGAATTTCACAATATTTGCATTGGACTTGTCATCCAAGCAAACATAACTAAATTAGAAGTCACTGGAAGCGCTTCATTTGTGCCCTTAATGATTGCCTTTTTTATTTTGGGTCCTTCTACATTTTGCAAGCTATGCATGGACATGTCATAAATCACTTTGCCAAATGCCGACAGGATATTGGCTGTTGACACTGCCAAAAAGTCACTGAGTCTGAGTTGCACATGAAAGTGTCGGTTGGCATACTAAGCTCCAAGTTGTTTTCTGGGGAATGATAAGGGGCAGCAGGCAGCTTGCAATTCTCGCACTTAGCATGTGCGCGGCATTTTTGACTTTGTGTCAAACAATCGCTTAAGCCGCCACGCAACTGAAATCCAAAAAAGGGGAGCTCGAATACGTGCAGGATGCAGCAACAGCAGCAGCAGCAGCCCCCAAATACGTCCAGTTAGCAGTCAGCGCTTATTTCCTTCATCCGTTCACAGCAATTGGCTTTTAAGCCAGAGCATAAATCAAGCGCAAGATTTACGCCATTGTCAATGCGATTGGCATGCGCGGATTGGAGTTGTTTTTCTTTCTGTCTTGATTTTTTTATTTTATTTTTTTTCTGCGTTTATTGAAAGGATAATCGATGGCAGCGGCAAAATGTATTAAAGGATTTGCGTGGGGCACTTTAAAAACTTCCACTCAAAGCCTTTTGGCCAAGGCTCCCAAAGATGTCGACGAACTCGTAACTTTGAAATGCGGCTCTACGGTCAATTTAATTGAATGATGAATTGCGTTGGACACTTTCTGAAAAAGAGGAGGAGTGTTGTGTTGGGTTGAGGTGAGGTGGGGAAGTCTGGTGCGGAGTATCGCAAGCACACAACAAGCACCAACAACGACCTTAGTAACCGCAGAATTTCTTCAGTTGTCACGAAAAAGGATGTCAAAGAGAGGGACACAACCAGAGGCAAGGGCAGCTACAGGGGCGGGAGTGGGAATGGGACACCGACTCCTTGGGGCAGTGCACGACAAAGACGAATACGCATAATCAGTCAAAATTTATGACAAGTTCACCAGAAACTCAGCTTAAGCATTTAATTGGCCTCATGTACCTAGCTGTTGTTGTTATATTTGTATTTGTTGGTTTTGCTGCTGTTGCTGTTGGTGTTGTTGTGTATCCTCTCGGTAGAAGCCGTTGCTTAATTAGCAACGGCATATGCTTCATTTTGGCCACATGAATGACGTCCATTTTTTTGTCCCATTACTATGCCCAAAACGTTTTTTTTTTTTTTTGTTTTGCACATTTTTGGGAGCCAGGCCCTTTGAGGATCTTTTCCCAAGTCATGCTCCCCTTTCTCAGCACTGAGTGATGGCTTCAGTTGCAGCCGCTGCTCATCGGTAATTTGTCTAGTGACTCCGCTAGACCCAAAGGCCCCTTTCCCCTCCAACTCAATCTGGTCTTTGACTTGCTCAACCTGAAGGTTTGCCGCTTCTATGTCTACCCATTCCCTACCCCTCTTAGTACTGTTCTCATTGTGCGTCTCCTTTGCTATGCAGCCTGACGCATAAAAAAGGCCAACAACAAAAATATTTGCTAGTGAAGGCAGCCAAAATGTTGTGCTTAGTGCAGTTTCATGTAAGGCATTATTCTTGCTTAGTATCTGTCTCTTTTGCGATATCTATCTCTGTCTTTGTTTCTGTCTCTGATTCAGCTTCAGTTTCCACTTGGTTTTGTGTCTTTTTGACAAGCTCCTCAAATGCCTGTTTTGCCCTCATTTATTCTTAAGTATGGCTTCTTAGCTGTTCTAGCTGTTATATAAATACTTATATTTTAAAAGCGAAATTCGTTGGCTGTCTTCTGATATTCAAATAAATGTCGTGTAAATCACTCGAGTTTTTTCATTCATCATTTGCCAACTGCGTAATGATGTACAATATGTGTGAATGCTAAAAAAAAACACTCAAAAAATATATTTAACGTATTTAATATGTGTCATTCACTAATTAACTTATATTGGAATTTTCCGAATACTTAAACCAATTTGTAGACAATAAGCTCTTTATGGATAAAAAGTTGTCAGCAAAATAAATATTTAGCCAAGTTACTTACCATCGTCTGCGGTCTGGTGCATTGACTTAAGAATTAAGTCATGTTTCCGAAATCCACGTTACAACTTACATTCGGTGTAAGTCTCAGATAAATGTGGACCTTGTTTATGGCAGGGATCGTTAGGACCAACTTTTGCTGGAGGAATATTAACCGAAATAGTTCGAATGGTGCGAAACTTAGCTAGGGAAATATGTTCTGTTAACATAGCAGCTGAGCGGATTCAAAACGAAAAAATCAATTAAAAATAGTACAAAATATATGTATAATATCTTAATTGTTTCTTTCTTGTAACCACAAATTTTTAAGCATTTTATCATCTCTTATTATTTGTTTCTTTTTCGTTTACCGCTCGAAAAATTTCTAGGATTTTGCCAGGCTACATTTATTTCCTGTCGTCTATGTGCACCCTAAAGTATCTTACATTTTTTGAGTGAGGGAAATGTAGCTAATGCAGAAACCTAATATATTTCATTGGTGCGTGGACAAGCTATCATAAAAGGCAACCTGCAAAGAAAATGATAACTTCCCAACCAACAAAAGAAAAACACCATTTTAGTTCACAAGGTGTTAGTCATTGTGATTTGATTTTGGTGTGCTTGTGCAACTTATTTAAATGATAAAGTAGTAGACAGTTTACTTATTATTGTATATCAAAAGGTTAAGATAATTACTGAAGTAATTTAGAACTGTTTTAAAGAATCACTGTTCGATGAAGACATATCATAATCGAAAATATTTAATAATAGTAACAATAAAAAATATAAAGGTTTAATAAGGCAAACTAAATACAAAGTTTTAAAAATTAGTTTTAGTAATTACAAAATTTCGTACATGCATATATTAACATTATTTGTAACAAAGTGTTTTATTCAGCCAAACCTCATTAGATTTTTCTATTTGTATTTGTAAATTACACCACATTCAAGAATCTCTGCATGCATTTTCTTTTGTAGGCCTCAAGTAGGCGTCATTGTTGTTGCGAACAGTCTCAGCTTTGGCCGCCAATGATACCATAGAATACTTATTTCTTAATGGTTCGGGGATGTTCAAGGAAAACAACAACAGGGAAATACACACTTTCGAGCGTCTCTTTCGCTAAATGAGGCCAAGAAACATTGTAAACAACAACAGGACCGACACGTCAACGCCCCTAAGCTGCTAATGAAGGAGAGCGCGCACAAGGGACAAAGGACGTCACAAAGGTCGCATGCTGCGATCAGGATCACGATTACATTCATAGGCAGCTGAGAGGCAAATGGAGCTACAGTAGCCGAGTTATTCTGTATATTATAGAGTGGCTGCTCACACGCTCGAGAGGACAGCCGAGCAGAAGTCGGATGCAGTGCGAGCAAATGTGGTTTTTGTTGTGGTTAAAGAATTGACAAACATACGGATAAACTGAGTGACAGTCAGACAGAGAGACAGTCGGTCAGGTAGGCAGACACATCCTTGACGCATCCTCGCTGTTCATTTAACAATCGCACTCGGCTTGTAAAGCATTAATCCTGCTGTTGTATTATACATATACATATTTATGTGTGTATTCCACACACACACAAACACATACATACCATTACACAGATATTTCAATGGCCGCAACGAGATAAGCGGATTGGCCAAGAACAAAATTTAGTTGTTGCGAGTCTATTTGGTGTTTGATGTCCTGCGGCGCATATTAACATTATCAGCTGTGGCGCAGTAAAGACTTACAGAAATAAGAACAATGTTATCAGAGCCTTCTAATTGTCTGCTGCTGCTGCTCGCATACGAATAATGTGTGAAACTTTACGCCTGACGGAAGAGCTCCCGCAGCGCGGGACTCGCTGTGTGAGAGGACAGTCGCCTCATTGGTCTAATCAGTAAATGCGTTTAAGTGATTTAAGGGATATACATACTTACTTAATAATCGAAAATCGAATTCTCCCTATCACTGAGACAAATTTGGTTAGCGAGCACTGCCATCAGGCGAATCCCTATCATCTGTAAAGCAAACTGGAAAGTCCGTCTCAACTCAGCCCACTTCACACCTGGCTTCATTTGACGATTGCAGCACTTTCTGCTTGGTTTTGTTTTTGTTTTTGTTTTTTTTTGTCTCCTCTTTTCTTTTACAGCTTGCTGAAGAGCGCATTCAATTGAATTCGCGTCAGTTTAACGAAGTTTTCAAGCGGAAACGGAAATTTCTTTCGCATGTTTGTGAGGCGTCAATTTGTTTGAATTGAGCTGAGCTGCAGTTAAGTGACTTGCCAGTATATTAACCAGCACTCAAAACAAATAAGACTGATGTTATCCTTTGCATATATATAATACACCAATATATATATGTTTATTTAGTCACTTCGATGCTTGAAATTAAATTTTTATTCCCGCCATTTAAGCAGGTATACAATTTGAAGACAAAGAAATACGTTTTCACAAAGTCGGGACGAGTGCGATGCATTAGTTTTACAAAGTTGCCATCAAATTCAGCTCCTATTGAGTTTGCAACACCGTTGACATATGACAGAGTCTCTTCGGGATTCTCCCATTTCAGATACTTTTCATCAATCAGATCTGGTCGGAATGAGTGAATTAAGGCGCAGAACGCGTGTCCATCACTCCAGGACAAGGAAAACTCATACATGGGTATGCCATAGGGTTTCATTATAGTTTTGCACAGTTTGAGCAGCTCATGACGTCGATTCCCAAATGTTTTTCCATTTAAATTAATTATACCATGGGGTCTTTTGCTGACTTCACTGCATTGATCAGTTTGACTGGCTATATTAAATTTTGATACTGTCACTGGTACCTGACATAGCGCTTCAGCCAATTTGCTTGCTAATATTTTATTGGACTCCCGCTCTTTTCTCAGCTCCTGCTCGTTAGCCAAGTTTGTTCGCCGGTGTGAAGTTAATGCCTGCAGAAGTTGAAGCCTTTCGCAAATACAATTCAAGTCGTTTATTGCTTCGGCATTCGATAGTCGCATTATCGATAAATTATCCTCGTCTGCTTCTTCTTCGTTTGCTTGCATATTGATCATCTTCAATCAAACAACGCAGTTTCGCAAATTGAAAATTTAAAAAAATGTATTTATTTTAGTTTGAAACTGACTGAGCACACAAATCGAAATAAGTTTGTCAGTTTATAAAAAACACGAGATATTTCTTCATTTAATTAAAGTGATTTGATACATATTTGATATTTCAAACTCTGTTTTATCGCAAGATCTATAAGCGAACTGCAACTCAATTAACCCTAAACGAGCGAAGTTGTTGATGAAAAATCTGAACAACTGCCTCGGGCTATGCTCATATTATACAAAGTTATTATTGTTATTGGCACCCCCGAGCATACATACAGGGTTTTAATATAACAACGTTAGTGTTTCGTTTATGCCACATGCTTACCCCGCAATTTGCGTGCATGTTGCAAGCAACAAAACGCCCGCGGCAACATCAACAACAACCGCACAAAAAAGAAGTCAACGTGAAACATTTGTAACATTTGGCAGATGTCAACGCCCAGCAAGTGCAAAAGTCGAATGGCATCAAATCATGGCAACAATTTGATAAAAATGTCATAATTGAATCACTCTCAGCAGTCCAGCACAGAGGGAGCGCTAGAGAGGGATAGAGAGAAATAGAGAAAAGGAGGGGGAGTGTGTGAGTTTTGGACGGGCGAAAGAAACTCAAATCTCCATCAGAACAAAAATGCTTCGAGGCTGCGTTTAAATGCAGCCCGTAATTCGAGCGAATTTTTGGTGAAGGAGGCGTTGCAGGCTTTTTGGGTGTATGGGTGTATGGGTGTGTGGGTGTGTGGGCGTTTTCCGTTACTTTGATTGCTTTTCATAACTTTATGCTAATCAGAGATGGTCGCAAAGTGTCGAATTTCGGCGGACCGAAACTATGTTTTGTCATTTGGCGGGATAATTAAAATGCAAAATGAACGAAATACTCGCAGTGATAATACAAGTTGAAGGCGCTGAAAATAATTTCCGCTTTTAATGCTCATTTCGCATTATGTATACAAAAGTAATTAATATCCTTGTGACCCAAAAATGCAACAGCAGCAGCAACAGCAGAAGCGCACAGGATATTTGTGCAAGTAATTTCCGTCGCTGAAGAGTTGTTCCACCAGCAACACTGAGTAATTAATTTATGCTAAATATACAACAACAATAACGGCCAAAGCAGCAACAACAACAGACTACAGACAAAAATGCAAATGAAAATAAATTGAAAATTTGTATTTCAAAATAATTAACTTTTCAATGCGTTTAATTAAAATCTCTTGTCCACATATATACGCAGGCAGTTTAATAAGTTCTCAAAGATACATTTCGTATATAATTATATATATATATTATAACATCGGCTTAAATTTATAATTTAAGTTAGTTTTATATATCTATAAAACAATAAGATTTAGATTAGATTAGATTTTGTAACATGGCTATTTAAATATGCATTTCCATTTTCTTTTTTGACATTTTTTTAAGAGTGTAATCGTATTATTCTTCATCGAAATTAATGTCAGTCACATAAAACAATTATTACGAATTGGATCCTTCAAAAGTTTTTAGGATCTGTATTAATATCTAACAGAATGTACACCTATTTTAGTTATTACTATAACCAAGTGGAGAATATCAACTGGTACATTCTGATAGTGGCCATAATTTGGGCCATTATTTTGATCTACAATCTTCGAATGGGTATTCAGCTACTTGAATGTCTGCTGGGCTGCGAGCAGATATGTCAAGAAAACGCTGCGCCCGTTCCGACAAGCTTTGATTATAGTGTCAGGCGTGGACCACACACCTGGCAGACGGCCGCGAACAATCAGAGTCCCATTAACATTGATGGGGAATGCGCGGAGCAGTTCTGCTTGAACAATCCACTGATGTGGATAGGTTATGAGGAGCTCCCTGTTGGCATTCGCCTGGAGAACAATGGACACACACTGCTGCTGCACGCCGCTTTCCAGGGTGAGACGCCCTACATCGATGGTGCCGACTTGCTGGGCAGCTTCAGTTTCCACGAGATCTGCTTTCGCTGGAGCTGGTACAGTGGTACAGGATCCGAGCACACGCTGGATAACGAGCACTTTCCGATGGAGGTGCAGTGCATGCACAAGGATGCAGTCAACAGGGAGCAGACCTCCAGCTGTAGCCTGCTCATGGTCTCGTACATGTACGCCGTGTCCACAGAGAACCCTTTTCTAGATGTTCTCATCCAGCATTTGGTAGCTGTGCAGGAGGCAGGCAAATGCGTTGAAATTCCCCCATTTCCCCTCAACTATCTGATGCCAGCTTTCCATACGGCGTTCTACAGCTACCATGGCTCGCTGACAGAGCCACCATGCCACCGTGGCGCCGAGTGGTTCATCTACCCGCTGCCCCTGGCCATCAGCGAGCGTCAATTGCACGAATTCCGCAAGCTGCGCAGTCACAACGGTGCTCGAATTGGGCGCAATTCGCGACCCGTCCAGCCGCTGGATGATCGAACTGTCCTATTCAATTACTAGTGAAAAGGTCTACTTAAAAACTTGAAGCCAAACATCTATATTTATTTATTTTATTAACAAAATTCTTAATAAATGAATAAATACACTGTAATATTAATAGTTGTCTACAATTCTTTAATACTAAAACATCACTCCTGCTGTAATTCCTCATAGTGAATAAATACACGTCGTTGTAATATTAATTTGTGCTAAAAATATAAGCGTTGTCTTTCATAATTTAAGAAATTCTAAATAAAAGCAAGAAGTAAGTTTTATTTATTTTATTTAGAATTCTTTCTTAAATTTGAATTTGTAAATTTAATTTCTATTATTTAATTTTGCTTAACTTGTGACATTATTTTAAATTTAATTTTACATTTTTATCAAATAAAACCATTTTCACAATGATGAATCGTTTTTAGTCTACATTAAAAAATATATATTTAATACAAATTTCTCAAATTACCTTATGACAATTACTTAATTGAAATGGTTTGATTTCAAGTAGAATGAAATTAATGACGTCATGTAAAATAGGTTTACTTAATTTTTTTGTAATTAGATTTTGTGGTGCCTCGATGCCCACCTCACCAGCTCACAGATAACTAACCAGATAACTAGCCTGGTTCAGGCAAGAGCAAATCTTCCGCACAATTTCATCAGACTATCGCAGTTTGCGTTATTGTAATCCACTAATTAGACGTTCAAAGAGCATTAAGCAGCGCTTGTTTTGGTGGTGGTGCTGCTGTTGCCTGTTGTCGACCAGCTATTTGGTCCTTTTAGGCAGCAGCGCCGCAGGATATGGCTCTGCGCTCAGTCGTCCATGTGTTAGAATGTGTATATGTATGTATGTATGTATGTATGTATGTGTGTGTATGTATGTGTATGTGTGTCTGCGTCTATAATTTCGTTAGTGCAGCGGAAACTGTTGCGGACATGTTGCCCAGCCCGGAATTGGGAATGCGATTGCTATTGGGATTGGTATTAGTATTGGTTCTGTTCGATGTTTTTTGTGGTGTTGGGTCCTAGGATTGGGCCCCCTGTTGTGACGCACCCTCGTCCATTGCTCTTGCTCCTGCTCTCTCTCACACACAACTGTTATAATGACTGTGTGTCCTGTTAATTATCAGTTGGTCCTGTCGTTGCTATTGATGTGTACATGAGCAGGATTCCGTCTATATAAGAGCAGTAATTACTCTGCATAGGCTGTGTGATATTTGCACAAATATGCGAATATACAATGTGCATGGATTTGATGCTTTAGTTTATATACAAATGGTAAGTTTGTTGGATTGAATAATCAGGAACAATCGATTGTAGTCTGCAATTTCGATTGCATTTGCTGTAAATCAAAGCTAATGCAATTACTCAAACAACTTTCGGTTGTTGTTTTTGTTATTGTAGTGCAGCCAATACAATTTGGCTGTTTTGGCAACTTAATTGAATTGCATATTCACAAATAAAACTTAATTTTTGGTCGCGTTTTTAGCACTGCGGCATCGATTCCATTCATTGCCCACATTTGTATTATTTTAGCTAAGTATTCATTGCAGCAAAATGGCAAAAATTCGTTTGAAAAGTCCATAGAAAATTTGAGAAATTGCAATTAAAAAGCATAATTCAATTAATTAATGCAAATATTCTAATATTTTGAAGCGAATTTGCGAAATGATATGCAAATTTGTCTGTGGAGCCCGCAAAATGTTTAATTAAAATAAAAATGTTTTTAATTTGCGAGGAAATTAATGAAACTGTTGGCAAATAATAGCAATAATTAATATTATTTGTGCATTGTTGCATGTAAGTGCATTTTGTATGTGAAAACTAAATAATAATTTGCATAATATATAATAAAGTGGTTCTAATCAATAAACAAGCTTCAGGAAATTGCAAATGAGCATTAACATTTTGTTGTCATATAGAATATTTTGTATATAGTTAAATACGAAGAATATTCAATTAAATCCTTGTTTCGCTACTATTTATTATGTTTAGAAATAAAATGTTTTAATATTTAGCATCGCTTTTGCAAAATACATAAATAAATAAATGCAAATTTATTAACTTATATTACATATATTTGTCCGCATTTAACTTAACTATTATTAACGATATATTTTATTTAAGAGCACTTTTAGTAGCTCAACCCCAGCAGTCAGTATAAACTAATGTCAAGCGGTAATATTTTCAATTATTTTAGAATAAGTCAAAGACAATGCAAATGAGGTGCTGCTAGTAGTGCCAGAATCTTGCCTGAATCCTAAAAGTCGCTGCTAGACAAACATATCAATCAACATTCTAATTGAATGTAATTAGAAAAACGCATGAGCTGCCAAATCTTGTGCAAGGCAGCCAGCCACAGTAGCTTGCAAAGGCAGCTTCTATCAGCATGTTGGCCACAGACCCACTGCCAGCACTAGCCTTCGATGGCGCACAAGTGTGCCATGAAGAAAATGGCAAGAAAATGAAATTAGACGAATAGAATGACGATGTAAGTGCCATGAAAAGACGTTAAGATGCTTTAAATGGGTCTGAGAAGCAGACGAACAGAAGGAGACGTAAGACGCGATGCTGCTGCTGCTGCCTCAACTGAATAAGGACGATGATGATGATGATGATGATGTAGAGATGGGGATGGGGTTAACAGTGGGGTTGGGAATGGGAATTGGAATTGGTAGGAGGACGAAGCTGTGTGTAGTGGTTGCTAAAATTGAGGTAAATTGCATTTAAGTGTTGCCGTTTTCATTTAGCTGCATGAATATATACATATAGAAGAGAAGCTGGATGCGGCTTTTGTGGCACGAAAATTGAATGAATAATTGAGAAAACGAGCGCATGATGGCATTAGTGTGTGATTGTGTGATTGTGCTATTGTGCGATTGTGCGATTGTATGTGTGTGCTAATGAATTTTAATTGGTTTTTATTAAGGTAGAGTGCCAGGTCCAAAGAGAAGCATCAAAAATCGCAGCTTGCACTTAATTTGCTATTTTTTGATTGGTAATTGTGAATTGTGAATCATTAAATATTGTTGCAGTAAAATCAATATGGCAGCTGACGATTAATTAACGCCATTTTGTAATTATCTGCGGATTTTTAATGCAATTAACTTTGCGTATGCAGTCGGCCAAAAATAAAATATAAAAAACGAACATAAATATTTATGTAATAAAAATGAAATGGAAGTTCGCATGCACTGCCGTCCGTCCATTAAATAAATATAAATGCAAACAAATAACTGTAATTGCAAATTGTTATTGCGAAAGTAACCGCACTTGAAGAGACACAAACAAATATCCACAGCAAACTATGCCCTGGAAATTAATTTCATAAATAAAAAATTAAACGGAACAGAATAAAACTGTGCTGCTCTGCTCGCTGCTCTGAGCTGTTGCTCTGCATTTGGTCCTGGCATGTCCTCATGCCCTTGGCGCACTTCCTTTTTCAATTAAACGCCACCATTTTCCATTAACGAATTTGCATGCATGCATGTGTGTGTGTGTGTGTGTGTGTGACAGACACATACATACATCCACTTGCCCATCAGTTTACCCTACGCTCTCCCTCTCCCTCTCCCTCTCTCTTTCTCTACCTCTTTCTCTCTCTCTCTCTCTTTACGCTTTGTCTATGTCGCTCTCCTTTCTCGCTCGCACACACATCTGTATTTCTATAATAAAATTAAATTAGAAGACCAGAAAATTAAATCATCAAAGCTTGACGTCTGTCGACGGCTGCCGCTGCCGTTGCTCCCTGTATTCCTCTCTCTCTCTCTCCCTCTAATTTTCTCTCACTCTTTCTCTTTCTCTCTCTCTCTGTCTATGTGTGTTCCTCTCCCTTGCTCAAGCTATCTCTCTATGTGTGAACGTGCATGTGTGAGCATAAAATGGCGAGGCACACACACACACACACACACACACACACACACACTAACACACACGTGTCAGAGCCGGCCCAATTTGCAAAGCGACAGTTACGAGTTCATTAATTCCTCAGCCTTTTTTCAGCGCCAGCTTTTCGAATTGCGTCTGCAGTTGGGCTCGCTGTGGTTGAACTTACCCCCCATTATGTCACACAGCATCGCAAACCCAAACCACTCTTCTCTGCCTGGACTCTCTCAGTCTTTGTGGTGTGAGCAGCATCATAAATTAAATTTTTCATCAACTCAAACTCGTTAAGCGCCAATAAAGTGACAGAGAGTTATTTTCATCACTTTTTCAATGGTCTACCACAAGGCGTACTCTGTGTGCGTGTGTGTGTGATAGTGATTGAATGCGCCGAAGCGCTCTCTCTCTCTCTCTCTCACTCTCTGTCTCTCACACTCTCCATCTGTGTGACTCTCTGCAGCTGTACCAGCGACTAGTTTAAGCCACGCCTCTGCCAAAGAGCGAAACTGTACAACTGAGCGAGTGAGCAAGAGCGCATGGTGGTGTGAGCGAGACAAAAAGCCACCTATACTCAAAAACTGGTTCGGCTTTACGCATGCGCAGCCCGATTTGATATATTGGCAGCGATAAGCTAAGTGCAATCTACAACAAAAAAAGAAATATATAAAAAATCCCCGTCAAGCCGGCTGCTTGTCAATGCCCCATTACAAAACAGCCTTAGATCATATCTGAAATAAAACCTAAATCAACAGGGTATATACACACATACACATATATCTAAATATATATATATATATATATATATATGTGCAGATTAATAATTATGCATTCAAATATTATTATTCAATTATTGTTGTACAGCAGCCAAAGATTCGTATACGCTATGGCCCTTAACTTAAACAACAGTCAGAACTTGGCTAGTAGAGCAAATAAGTAGATGTGGCAGAAGGTTGAGTAGGTTCCTGGTGCCAGGCGCTTAACAGCTTAACGATAAAAGCAAACTAATTAAAAGTACGAAGCAGGAGAAATTGCCACATAATAAAGCAAATTAAAAGCAAATTAATTTAAAACACAAAACAAGCAAAAAGAAAAACTGGCGAGAAGCGATGCGGATGTGGCGCAAATGAAAATGACGCAAGGCGGTTGCCGCACACACACACACACACACACACACTCATATATATAAATGTGAGTGTGTGTGTGTGTGTGTGTGTGTGCGGCAACCGATTTGCGTCATTCCACTTTGCGCCACACTCGCATTGCTTCTCGCAAGTTTTTCTTTTTGCTTGTTTTGTGTTTTAAATTAATTTGCTTTTCATTTGCTTACTTATGTGGTGCTCTCTCATGCTTCGTACTTTTAATTAGTTTGCTTTACTCGTACAGCTGTTGAGCGCGTGGCAATGGGATCTGGCTAGATCGTTAGGCATATCAATAAACTCGCATTAAGAGCTCATTAGTTGGCACAAATCGAATCGCTGGCAAAAGGAGCCCTTGACAGGCAGAGGATAACAGGCTGAATGAGCGCCTGACTGAAAGGTTGCCTGCTTGGCTCCTTGTGCCCCTGTCTCCTTGTCTGTCTGACATTTTCATTTAACGTGTAATGGAAGATAGCGTAAACGAGCAAATGAGTCCAGTGAAGGGAATTGAGTTGCGTTCAACTAAACTGAAAACCGCAACTCATGCCAACAGGTATTGAGCAAAGAACTAAGTAAAATTGTATTGAACTCAAATCTGAGGCTCATAAAAACCAAATACCAAAAACAGACGCTAAGTAACAGTCAGTAAAACTAGCTAACCACTGCCTGTCGACTGTTCGCATTTAAGTTTATTTCCTTCTGGCGCCGTTGCGGCGCAATCAGTTTGCAAATTTGTAACAATAGCAGGATATTAAGAAAATCCACTTAGGTGGGTGTAGGGATCACAGAGCACTTTGTTGTGCTGGACTTTGGCCAATATCTTCGACCAGATTTGGTCGAGCTGAACTCATCATTTGTTGCATATACAGATGGAGAGAGAGAGACAGAGAGAGAGAGAGAGAGAGAGAGGGGGAGAGGGAGAGGTGCTGTTGTATTAGTTGCATGCCGCAGCAAACTGAACAATAAGCAGCTGGCAAATAAAAGTTGTCGCCTTCCAAAATCGACACTTTCAACCAACATACACACACACGCACACACACACACACTCGCACACTCAACAATGGGCCACAGCACGCGTGCTGCTGCAAACACAAGAAACAGGACTTGCAGACAGATTGTGGAACAACCCGTAATTTAGCGCGTGCGCTCTCTTACTCTCTCTCTCTCTCTCCCTCTCTCTCATTCTCACTTAACATAGCAGTTTGAATCCTGAGCAAGCTCCGCCCCAAAAGAACACACACACACGCACTCGAGCCATGCAACCGGTTTCCAATTTGATTTCGAGCTGAACTCGACTCTGGTAGCGTCAACTTGTTTATTGCCAACTCTGCCTTGGCACAGTACGCAACGGTTTCGGTTGGTGCGGTACAAAAAACTAATAATATACAGAATAAAAGTAACAAACACTTGGTGGAAAGAATTAGAGAATCTCTCTCTCTCTTAAATTAATGTCATTTGAAGTTCAGCTCGAAAGTTGCTGTTGTGTCGAGAGCCGTCGCTAAATTACTTTCAAATTTTTCATGAATAGAACCAAAAGATAATAAAAACATAATAATACTACTATACTATATAGTATACGCTTGTATACTTGTTGTGCGTGAGTGTGCGTGTGTGTGTGTGTGTGTGTATTTGTGTGTGACTTAGAGAAACCGTTTAACGTTATGGATATTAAAACCACAGCAGTGACGCCTCCCATGCCAGCAGCTGTGGATGCTGCCGGCGCACCAACATCGCCCACAACAGGCAGCCTGACGGTGTCCAGCAACTTGGAGCAACTGCAGCATAAGCAAACATTCCAGCATATCTTTGAGCAGCTGGTGCAGCAGAGCGGCGGCAATCACAAGCTGGCACCCAAGCAGCTCGAGCATCTGCGACATTTGCTGGGCAATGTGCGCGATGCGAAGAATCTACAGCTGATTGTGGAGAAGTTCAAAAATCTGGAGCAATTTCAGGAGCACTATGCACATCTGGGCAACAACAACACTGTGATCACTGAGGGTAAGCGGGTTGTTTATGGTGTGCTGGGCCGACGGCAGCAATACTAATTTCTGGAGCTGCATGTTTAGTTCCCGGAAAGCGCTCGCCATTACTGATTACCGATTTAATTAACACAAATTGTCGCACAACATGAACGCAAACAATATGCATATATTTATATATTTATATATATATATATGTATGTGCTGACAACAGGCACTGTTGCCCCCTATTTTGCTGCGTGTTCACAGACTTGTTTTGCATTTTGGGGCATTTTATTTTATTTTTTTTGATTATCAACATGCCCCCGGGAGCCTGTATTTAAAATAACTTGCAAATTATAAACTAATTGCCAAAGGCATGCATGAACAAGAAACGGGAGTCAAAATCCAAAGCAGCCAACAGTTCCAACAAAGAAGCATAAATTATGTGATTGACAGTCGCAGCAGTAAAAGCAACTGAGACCAGAGATTCGCATAAAAAGTGTTGCCTACTTTTCAGTTGAATTTTTGACATGACAAACGCTCATTAGAAAAAACACATACACACAAACAACACTCATGGACACACATTTCGAATGGCGGCCAATGTGTCGCTTAGTTGCAATTACAGTTTTTAGCTCGTTAAAACTGTAAATAAAGTTGTGCCCTCTGCGTATGTGTGTGTGTGTGCAACATTTTAATACTTTGAAAATAGCTGTCAAATTTGCATAGCTGCTGCTATTGCTACTGCTGCTGCTGCTGCTGCTGTCGTGCGCTTAATTGACTTTCCAAACTGTTGGCAAACAGGCTTTTAATTCTCATGCATGCACTCTTTTGGCCCACCAACCACCCCCGTCCAACCAACAACCTGCCGCTGCCCGCTGTTAACCACCTCGTCCAACTCTTTTGCAGACAGCGAAATGTCGCTCAAGGACAACGCACGCAAATTTGGCGCTGGCGGTCAGACGCTGACGCCGCGTCACACAATCGACGCCATACTGGGACTCAAGAATCGCAACGGCCAGGCCCATAGCCAGCTGCAGGCCGAGGGCAGTGATGGTAAGTGTGACCTTCAAAGTCCAGCTTAACGTTAGTCTCTCTAGGCCATAAATCAAAGTGTGTGTTGTGCTCTTATTATTAACGCATTAGTTACTTCGTGAATGTCGAGAACGACACATTGAGAAGTGTTAGGTTTGTAATCGGTCTGCCGATAAGCGATAAGCACAATGCAAATCGATTTCAATTACAGTTCGCAGCTCTGAGCTCGAAGCTGTTACTTCAAATCAACAAACACAATCGCAAAATTATATTAGCATTTATTTTGGCCTGACTATCGCGTGGCATGGAAGTCGCTTTGACTTCTACTTCCAACTATACCCCATTCACTACCCAGTTCTGAATGCTCAATCCTAGCTACCAACTCCTCCTTCCTGCTAAACTGGCGTCTAGGGCTGCACTTTAGCGCCGCCCTGCGATGCACGACAGCTGATAAGGGAAATCAGTCAGCGGTAATCGTTTACATGGCCAAACGGGATTAGAACTCAAGTTGCCAGCGTGGGCGTCTTTTCTGCTTGTCGTTGCTGTTGCTGCTGCTGCTGCTGTTATTTTTATGGCATTCGCTTCTTAGCCAATTTAAAGTTTTTATTATATATTTCTTTGGGCGCTGTCAGTTAGTCCCAGTCGTTATTTTGAAGGCTTTTTAACTGGATTATAGTCGGATTTATGCGCCTCGGTGTCAGTCGCCGATTTCACTCCCGTCGCATCAGAAAGGGGTTTAATGGTTGGCTAACTCCATTCCCACAGCACGTCGTTTATAATCTATTTCATTTTTATGTTTTGATTGCCGACAAGCGATTGTCGTACAAAAACAAAAAGCCTTCCTTTCAAATCGACTTGTCAAAAATGGGAGGCTTTTTCACCTCAAAGGTGATATTTTTGGCTGTTTTACGAACTGATAAGGTAGGCAAAAAAAAAAAAATGTTCTTAGGCGTACATAAATGATTTAACATCTCTATAAACAAACAGAAGTATTTTCTACACAATAATATAGACTAGATTCATACCATCAATTAAATTTATTAGCTTTAAATAAATGCTTGGATTAACCAGTATCTTTAATATTCATAATTATTAAAACTGTATTAAAAAAAAAAATGTTTTGCTTGCTGAATAATTCATTGAGTTTCAGCGATTCTTTTATATTTATTTATTTATATATATTGTCTGTTTATGTCTACTATTTCCTGTCATGTCATTTATCGATTTTAAGACTTGCCAAAAAGCGCAGACACTTTGAAGGCGAAATCAATTAAAGACGTTTGCAATTAATTCAATTAAAGCATTGCGTTAATGAAAGCCACAACACAGCAAAGTTGCTGACGCTGATGAGCACAAGGAAGAGACCGCAGACAGCAGCTGCAACAAGAAAACAACAAGAAAATAGCAAATAGCAAAACAAGTTGTGCAAACAAAATGGTGTTGCGCGAGAGGCAAACAACAAAAGCACAGGTTAAATGGCCGCAAATTAATTAGTAGCAAGCAAATAAGCTGACTAACTAGTGGGTAGAGAGTGGAGTCGAGACGTGGGGGGGAGGCAAGTGCAGAGACATAAGGCAAACAACAAACCGGACTGAGCCTCTTAACCCATAATCATAATTGAACTGCGGCTAGACGTAAGCTGTCAAAAAGCATTTAAACTGACAGCTCGCTGCGGTGGCGTCAACAACAAGAAAGAGTGCAAAACTGAGTAAGCCATAGAGAGGGAGAGAGAGAGAGAGATATGGAAAGAGTGAGTAGAGTGAGACATGCTTATTAAACACATAGAAGCGTTGGCTGCACAAGTGCATTAGTATACAATGTGAACTGAACTGAAATGAACTGAGTGGACTTGTGTTGCTCTGCATCATCATTAAGATCGAGATAAAAACAGTCAACTCATGCTGTGTGCAAGCGAGATGGCTGCTGACGCCGATGCCGATGCCGACGCCAAGAAGTTGAGCTGTGGATCGTTCCATTGATTCATCCAACAACATTCACATTGAGTTGATGCGGCATTAAATTGAGCATTAAGTCACTTAATGATCTTAATGCGTGTCCGAAGCGAGCTAAACGCGCGTCGGTGTTGCTGTTGGGTCTTATTAGCCGTTTTGTTGCCTGTTGCCTGCTGCCACAACTACAACTACAACAACAACATCACCAACAACAAGAACGCAATCCACTTCACTTTAACGCACTTGATTGACAGTTTTGTTTATGGCTTGTTTCATTTTTTGATATGAGCTCGATATCGTGTATCGTGTATCTTGTATCTTGTATCTCGAATTGGAGTTGCGCCTGCGCCGGAAGATGCCAAACATTTTGTGCATTTCCTTTTATTGCCACGTCGTACCTGTTGCCAATGACTTTCGAAAATGTGCGCTGCTTATTCGGCTAATAACATTTCAATTAGGCCGCCTAATGGCAAAGGTTGTGAGAAACTGTCAAATCATCGGATTGACGCGATTAACGTCAATTTGTCCTTTGCTTTGTGTCCCGATGCGCGATGCCACAGAGTATACGCGTCTTATTGCCGCAAATTGGAGCAAACTAGGGTTGCTCTAACGAGTCACTACTGTTGGCCATTGGGCAACCGAGGGCGGACAGATACGGCTTCATCTTGTCAGTAGCTGACTTAATTTGAACCTTTTAACATTTCAACTCCGCGCTCGTTGTACTCGTATTCATAGTTAAATTGTTAACAACCCAAAACTTCCAGCTGCCAACTTTAATTGCCACAGACGCTAATGGCCAACAGACGCAGGAAGCAGTCGCACAATACGAACAAACAACAACAACAACAAATTCAAAATCATTTCTTAATTGAACTGTCGATCAGGCAATTTGCTTGCCTCAGACTCTTGCGTCTCTCCCTCTGAACGAATATTGAACAGTGAATACTGTTTGATTGGCTTTTAACTGCTGAGGCTTTACATAAAATATGCGAATGAAGATGTATTTGTACATTTAGTGAGTTAGTTGACAGAAGACTAATCCATTCCACATGAGACGACATTTCCTTTTATATTCAAATTGATCATGAACTTAAACTAAATGATATACTCTATTATTCCCTAGAAGACTATTCAAAGTCTAGTTCTGGTAAAGACAACAACTACAAAATTCAAACTAAAAGACTACAATATCAGTATAGATATTAATTGGGTTTTCTACATTACCAACATATTTGACACAAATATGAACATTTTATTAAAGTTTATGATTCCGACAAGTATTAAATATATTTCTGACAGTATTATCGTATGTCAATCTACCAAATTCTGCATTGATATTTTCGCTCTCGTTGACTACATCTAATAAATACCATTCTACATACATAAATCCAATATTACAATAGATATCAACACATCAGCCAAGAGAAATAAATAGTATACCACATCCAATGCTAAATATTCTATTTACATAATATAAATCCAATATTACAAAACATTTTCACACACAAGCCAGAACCATACGAAATAAAAACCATACCACATCCTATGATAAATACTATATTCTGTTCACATAACATAAATCGAATATTACAAAACATTTTCACACACACACAAAATCAGAGAAATATTATGTGGCACATGTGAACTAAGCTTTACGCAAATTTAGTTATTTTTATATCTCAGGGTTTTTAATACTCACTTCACTCACTGTTCCGACAGGCCATAATTTTCGCCCATGTGGTTCGGTTCGTCATTTCATTCAACTCGATTTTGGCGTTGGTCTTTTTGGTCTCAAGCTCACGCAATTAACGCACGCACTCGGTGTGGCCTATGGAAGCGGGGGTTCCCTCGGCCCGGACATGGTTTTCGGTCTGAGATTGCTGCTACTGTCGCTGACGCACCTCATGTGGCGCCTTCACGCCTTTTGTAAATGCTGTTTTCTATTATTACTTGCTTATTATTATTTATTATTATTATTATTGTTATGCGTGCTGTTGGCTTTGTGTGCTACCTTATTTACAGCTATGAATATATATATATATAAATATATTTTTTTTTTTGATTCTCTTTTTCAGCATTTTTAATTTCTTTCGAGCAGTTTTTGTTAATTTCATTAACGCCACAGTGGCTCAAAATAAAACGCATGCGGTGCGTGTAAATTTCGATTGATTGGTGAAAACGCTGTGGAGGTTAATTCAGGGCATTTCTGGCCCGTTTTTCAGCTGCTGTTTATGGTTAATTAGACAAAACATTTGACCCAATTATTGTCTGAAAATTTGTGCTGAGAAAAGAAACCTAATGAAAATCAATAGATAGCAAGTACTTAAATGCCTGGCCTACGGCTACTGAAAGCCAACTAAATGCCGGCCAGATAATTATTGGCCATTGTGGCAGACATAATTACATTAGACAATCGTTCGAAGCTAAGCACTTTGGGCCTGGTTTATGTAATCGAACCAGTTACATGCAAATTAAATTCAAGTATACTACATACACACTTTGTATAAGTACATCAAAAAGCAATTACACAAAAGACTATCGAATAATTACAGATATTTGAGGGCAGCTGAATAGGTAATTGGATTTCTGGCGACGCCATCAGCTAACAGCTAACAGCCAACAGTTTTGAAAACCCAATTTAACATAGAAATTGAATTTGCTTACACAAACCAACTGCAAAAGTCAGTGCAAACAGGCGCCACCCACATAAACACCTCGTTTCGGCCCCCTCCGCACTCCCAGCCCAACACTGGCCGCGGCTCGGCGACAACTAATGACTTCCTCGCATGTCACGTGATATGTGCCAGTGGCAGCCAGAACGCCCATTAGAGCCACCAACAACATCCCTAACCCACTTCTCTCTCTCTCTACTCCTCGCCCACTCTCAACTCTCAACTGCCGAGAGTAGTTTATACCAGTCGTTTCAGCTTTGGCCTTCGATGTATAGGGTCTTCTGAGAACTTTTATTGCCGCACATTGTAAATACGAGGCGACTAATTGAAAGCCGTTTATTAATGGGCTGCCCAACAGGTGCAGGGGTGGGTGGCTGGGTGTATAGGTCTAAGGGATTTGGGATTGGGGGTTGGGGTTGTAACCCAAAATTAAATAACACATTGAAATTACCGCGTCAGGCTCTTAACCACATGGGCAGCGACAGCTTTATGACTTGTCTGCCTTTGGCTAATTAAAATCTAATCAGCCACTGAGAAATAGATGAGAGTTGTAGGTATCGTAACTGCCAACTAAATAGAGTGTGTACATCATGATTTGATTATAGCACATTTGATATAACTCAGAACTAAGAAGAGTATATACATCATGATTTAATTACAGCACTAGGACTTCTCTTCACAGCGACAGAGAATGTTTATTTTAATTATGATCGATTTTCTCTCTTTTGATACTTTCTTTGCCAATCCAAGTTGGCAGAATATTTTCGATCAGAATAGTGTAAGATACATGTTTGAGTTTGTACATCATGATTTAATTATTATACACAGTTGCAGAAAGTGCCTTGTAGAGCATATATTTAATTGAATAACAGATTTTGAAATGTTTTCAATCAATTAATACAGGTGAGAATAAGAAATAATTGGATATTTTAAAAGAAAACAGAGAACAATAATTTGATTAAAATAAGTGCTTTCAAAATAAATTACTTGTTTTTATGGATTTAGTTAAATATAATGTTAAATTTAGTCTGTACTCTACGAATTTAAAACATCAAATCATTTAGAAGATAATCGAAACTACTAATTTATCTATTGTTGTAGTAGAATTATTGCCCTAGACAATAATATGGGCACCCTGTAAATATTTATTGACAACACAAGTGTTGATAGATTTTTTAATGTAAGAAGTCATATTTTGAATATATAATTAAATCGTGGCAAATTGTTTATGAATTGAATTTCTGCTAATAGAAATGTTTTAACTAAAATATATCCTATTATCACACACAATACTAACTCTGAGAATTACTTGCATAACTCTGCTTTTACCAATCCATTTGTTGGTTTTTTAAAGCGGCAAAAAGTGACGCACTAGGTTTGGCGGTTAGACTAAGAAGATTCATTCAATGTGTTCGTAAGTTAAGGTATCGAGCGCAGTATCGATATCTTCTGTTATTAACATTAGTAATCGGAATTTTGTATTGATCTTTTACATATTTTCAACACCATTAATATAAATTTGTTTTTGTTGCTTGCAGGTGATGGTGATGCCTCCATGGCCGAAGATGATGCCACCGATCTGCGCTGCGGCATGTCGTTAACTCAGATGCGCAACATGGATAGTCATATGGCTAGCATGCTGCAACAGCATGCCAAGAATGGCCTGAACTATGGTCCCCCAACACCACCAGCACCGCCGCCAACTGCGCAGCAACAGCAGCAACATCAGACGCAGACGCACCATCATGGTGCCATGGCTGGCCCCCCACACGCCCCATTTGGCTACCACAATGCCTTCGGCTTTGGCCAGAGTCACAGCCATAGCCACAGCCATGGTCACAGTCACAGCCACGGTCACGGACATGGTCACGGCTATGGGCATCAGGAGGACGCGGCGGGCAATTACCTCAGCTCGATGCACCAAATGGTGGAGGCCAATCAATTGCAGCCACCGCCGGTGTCTGGTGCCCCACCACCGCCCCCGCCAGCTGGCGCCTATGGCAGCCATCAGCAGCACTTGGCGGCGCTGGCCGCGCATGCGCAGGAGCAGCACAACAAATATGCCAAGTCATCGCCGCCAACAGCAGCAGCAGCCGCCGCCGCCGCTACGACTGGCAGCAGCTACTTTGTGCCGGATGCGTCAGCATCAACGGCAACAGTTGTCCAGACACAGGCAACAACACGGGAGTACGACGAGCGTTCAATGTCCTCAGCGAGCGAACTGGAGGAGGATGAGGATGATGCGGCAAAGCTGCAGCAGCAGCAGCAGCAGCAACAACAGCAACTGCACGATGGCAACATCAACATTGATGTAACCACACCGCCCACGCCCCGACCCATCAGCAGCAACAGCACGAGCAACAAACGCAAATCCGTCTCCGCCTATTGTGATGATAATGAGCCAAAATTAGCCAATGGTCAGCAGCTAAGCAATTATGGCATTAGGGCGCGGAGTCTAGACGAGGTGCAGCAGCAACATCAGCAGCAGCAGCAGCAACAGCAACACTTTCAACACGACTATCGCAGCAATAATAACAATAGCAACAACAACACATCGGAGCATGTGGAACGTTTAAATGGGGACACCGATAGTCTGGTGAATGGAAGCTGCGCCTCCAGCGAGGATCTCAATCAGACCAACAACAGCGAACAGGGCGAGAAAATCACATCCGGCAGCGATGATGAGGGTAAGTTGTAGACTCGCAAAATAAAATCGAACTTAATTTAGAAAATCGCTGTACTCTAATAAATAGAAAATAAAATATTTCTGAACAATTTTAAATAATACCATTTTGAGATTGTCGACTGTAGCTAATGCAATTTGTTGTTTCTTTACCACTTACTTACAGGCCAGGACGAAAACTGTGCTAAGAAGAAGCATCGACGGAATCGCACCACCTTCACCACCTACCAGCTGCATGAGCTGGAGCGGGCATTTGAGAAATCGCACTATCCCGACGTCTATTCGCGCGAGGAGCTCGCAATGAAGGTGAATCTGCCCGAAGTGCGTGTCCAGGTGAGTAACGTTTGTAATCCAGAAGTTGCACTTCCCCAGCATAGACTACTAGCTGTGATAATCAGCGCCGAGATGTCTACGTTTATTTACGACCTGTTTTTGCTAATTGTGCAATCAACGTGCCAGTGCCGGAAATTAAACAATTTCCGATAGCAATTTATTTTAACGAAATTAAGTTGTGCCAACTAAAGTACATACTTTTCGCCCTCCCCGTACACAAACACCCTCTTGAGACTGATCCTAGCTCATATGTTTTCGGGCCAGCTTGACAAGGATTGATGTTTGAATGTGTTTGGTTATATAAATTATTGGTTGATAGATTAGCAAAGGAAAGCCAGAAAAACGATTTATAGGTGTGACCTGTACTTTATTTGTTCAATTTAGTTAGAATCGAGGCGAGTCTATTTTTTGATTAGTTTTTAAAATTCGATGTTTCGTCTAATTTACTTGGTGAATGGTTTCATTTTCTTTATCAAACAAAAATGCATTTAATTTGATAGTACTTGCAAATATTTACTTTTCTTGCTTCAAACTTCTTAACTTGAACTTTTCCTTTGAGTTTGATGTTGTTGTATTAATTCTATTCTTCTATTACTGATACGTTAGTCACTTTACATCACAATAGATGTGAAAGTCCTTTCATTTAGTTAAACTGAAAACCTTTGCATACCCTCTAACCACTTGCCGAAAGTTCGTGGCGAAAGGAGTAACTTTTTTGCAGCAAGAAACTTGCGCAACTTTCTTTCAGTGCATATTAAAATTTATGTCTCAATTGCAAATGACAATGCAAATGACAAGTCTCGGAGTTTTGTGCTGCCCCACAACCCTACCGTTTATGCTGGAGGCAGGAATTATGCATTTTATGAGGATATGCGCCTTTTGCTTTATATGCTCGATGCCCGACCGATGCATGTCTGGCAGCCATTCGTTTCGGGTGGCAAATTGCGACGTTAACGGGCGGGGCGCCTCGTAAATTCCTTTCACAGCGGTGTAGCATAAAAGACGCCCGACAGCAATACGAGAACCCCCGACCCTCTCAGCTCCGTTAAAAAGAAATAAGGAAGAGAAAACAGACGTCGTGGGGCAAGAGTCAAGCGTTGAAGTATTGAAGAATTGTAGAATTGAATTGGTTCGAGTAGTATAAATACTATATGCAAATATCTAAACTTTGACTTTATGAGGCCATCTAATTGCATAGCAGCACAGTGGACCCTCTGAGAGTGGCTTGTGGCATAGTTTTATGTGTGTTGTTCTAAGCCATAAACTAAGACCAGAGCCCAGAGCTCAGAGCTCAGGCGACAGGCCGTGCGACTGTCGGCAAAGGACATATCAAATTTCATGAATTCGTTTCCTCAGACGACAAATCATTTTTATTGACTAAACATTATCGTGCCGCAACCGTTGCAACGTTGGCGACACTGTCTCCATCTCACTCTCTCAGCCTGGCAACACAAATGTATGCACATAAATAAACAAACAAATAGTATACGATATACGAATTGAAGAATACCAAATACCAACCAAAAATATATAAACGAAATACAAACGTAATGAACGAAAATCGCATAAAAATTTCTTGCACCGCCGGCGCTGTGACTTATCAGCGTTTTTCTAGATGGCGTACGGCCCTCATGTGTCACTTTGTCAAATTGACACGAATTCAAATTATGCCAGAGCCCAGCAAAAAGAACCCCACCTCAAACTACCTCCTCCACCTTCCCTCCCCATCCTCTCTTTCCTTTTAGAAGCACTCAGTGTGCTCCCCAAAGTTTAACTCGTTTTTTCGATTTGGTGGGCACATTTTTTTTTTGGTCTGCACCCTTCTTATGTGAGTGTGTGTGTGAGTGTGTATGAGCGTGTGTGTGTGTGTGTGTGTATGTGTGTGTAATCGTATTTGCGGTTAGTTTGCATGAAGTTCTAGTTATCGTTTCGGGTTGGGAAATTGCTTGGTGTGCAACTCGTTGAAGGTGGAAATTTGTTTTGATTAAGTTTGCACACAAACACACAGCAAAAAAAAGAAGAAAAGAAAAAGAATTGAACGGAACTAAGTTTGTTACTTGGCCAACGTCAAAACGAATATGAGGTAAAGCTCAAACCCAAGTCGTGTCGAGTCAGTCAATCAGTGAGGCAATGGGGCAATATTCAGCAATTTCTCGTTTAGATGAGTTCATTTTGTGGGTTTTGGGACATGCATTGTAATAGATTTGCTAAATGTTTGTTTAAAAAGTTTGATTGGATTTTGCATTTGATGCATTGTGTTGTTCTTGTTGTTGTTGCTCTTATATTTGTTGTATTGTGTGCATTTTTGTGGCTTGTTTGATTGTTGTTTAAATGGCAATATTGCCTGCCACTCGTTCACATTGTAATGGAGAGCAGTTAGTTAGTTCCCTTACAGAAGCAATAGCAATAGCGATGGAGCGACATTTGACGCAAAAACAAAAACAAAATCGAAATCAAATTGAAATTGTGTCATTTGTGGTTTCTCGTTTGCAAAGCAATTAATATATACGACCAACCCAGATGAGAGATATTTATAAATGTATTTAGTTATACTCGACTTAGGCTCGGCTTATCTCAGATGGTAACCAAAACAAAAAGCGTTAAGCCGGCAAATTAAACAACAGATTAACGAGCTAAACAACCACAACGGCGAGACATATACACAGACCCATCATTAGCACTGCAAAAACACTCCGAGTCCATCAGCTGCCTGCCTGTCTTCTTCTTCTTCAGCTGTTGTTTTCTTCTTCTTTTTTTTCTGGCTTGTATTCCTTTATGATGTGAGCCAGAACATATGGCCGTGAAAGTGCCTCACATAGTAGATGACAATTATTTTATTTGGATTACACGCTGACAGCCAACAATTTGCGTCGAGGGTTCGCATTTTGACAACAGAGACGTTACGTTGCGGTCCTTTTCGGGCGTCTCGTGTATTTAAGGGTTAAAAGTGCTCCAATCATACGCCGTATTAAACACAATCGAGTGAGAAAAGACACAGAGCAAACCAACAGCCACAAAAACAAAAACAAAAACAAAAAAAGAGTTTAATTAAAACCTAATTTACCATGGCAAAGCAAAGCAAATTGCAAGTCTAAAGGGTTGATTGATGGATGATCTGAAATGTCTGTAACTATATATAACACTAAATAAATAGAAATGTCTACGTCAATTGACTCAATGACTGACTTCAGAGAAAAACAAAGAAATTAAAAAGAATTTGAGCGTCTCATGACGATTCAATTTAGAATACAACATAAATATATATCTATAACTCTGTAGTTTATCTGCATGTTTCTGAATAATTACTACAAAAAATAAACCCTCAAGAAACGTTGCGTGTTTTGTGTTGTTGCCTGTTTGGCCAATGTAAATCATTGGAAAGTAAATACAGAAATTTGTATATTGTTTTTGCTATGTTGTGCACATGTGAGTGCGTTTATCAAGCATGGCAATTTTAATTATTAATATTATTAGCAGCAAAAACAAACAAATGAAAAAATGCCTGTCAATTATTTTGCATGACCAAATGATTAAATATCGTAAAACTGTCAAAATATGCCAAGTACAAATGCCAGGCATACAAAATCATTTAATATACATACACAAATACGTTTGTCGTAATGCACACATGCACACATGAGAAATGTTTGTTTATCCACATATTGCGCATACGACGTGTGTGTCGTGACTGATGTTACTCTCTGTGAGTGTGTATGTTTGTATGTTTGTGAGCTGTGTGTTGTGTGTGCATAAAAAGCAAACAAATAAAAATGTCATTTCACTAACAAATAAAATAGATTTTTATTGCATTCCACTTGCTCCATTGCCATGGCCTGGCCTCAGTTTTAGCCTAACCGTTTATATGTTTATTTCTTATACACATCGAATTCTCATTCCATTGGATTATTATGTGTGTGTCTGTCTGTCTGTCTGTCTGTCAGTCTGTCTATCTGTAACGCTCCATTTGTCTCCATATCGACAACTATAACGATATCGAGTTGAGTCGAATCGCTTTCGCTTTCACATGTCATAATAATAATAATGCATATTAGGTTCATTTGTGCACTTTTCCCTTGGCCGCTAACAATTTTTATTGAAATCCTATACAAATCTAATAATGAAAATAATCAAAAAGAAAACGAAAACGAACAGAAAAAAAAACTACAACTGAGCAAAAGCCAAAACAAGCAAGTTGTGTCGTAAAAATCAAACAGGCCCGAATATCAAATGAAATTCACCAAATTGAACTGCCGACAATTGCATAAATGGGCTCATTTTCCCTACCTCCCCTATTCCCAATCTCCACCTCTCTCCCTCTCTCTCTTTCTCTAGGGAACCGCTACAAAAAGAGACTTTTCAGTATATTTAACGAATTGTTGGGGGCGTTAACAGTTGATCTGTGGGGAATGCTGACAATGGAGACAAACTTCTGTGCCGTCCATTTATGGGGCACTTACCGTGATTTGTCTAGTGACCGGTGACTAAGTATAGCTAATACATTTTCTCTCGTAATCTATTTAAATTGATCTTAAAATGAGCGCATTTATATAATAAATGCAAAAGAGTAAAAAAAAACAGAGCGACAGCTGCTCAAGTGCCGTTATTAATGCGTGGGCGGGGAACAATTAACACATTATGCCACCTTTGACACATACAACAACAAAACCAACACACAACAAAGCCACCGCAAGGGTAAATAATAATAAATATTAATAAAAGCAGTCAAGTCAAGTATTAGGGTTGCCCGAGGTATATGTGTGTGTGTGTGAGTACGTGTGTGTGTGTGTGTATATTGCACATCTGCTGCTTATGAAATTATGCTGAAATAAACTGTCCAATAAAACAAAGCGACCCAAAACAAAACACACAGACTCAACACTTGAACCGAGCTGACTAATTATGCCAAACAAGCGATCAAACAATGAATTATACAAAATTCTAGCCTCAATTATTATTTTATGGTATGCAAAATGGCGATTGCTGCAGTATATACCCTGTGC